TCCATTTTAAGATTACGCCACAGAGTTTCGACTTATTTAAGTTTTTCGGATTTTTTTTATATAATGGTGTATTCTTATGTTTTCAGAGCTGTAGATTTTGAAAAACGACCTCCATTTTAAGATTAGGCCACCGCGTTTCGATTTCTGTGAGTGTTTCGAATTTAAAAAGGTCTACTTTTATGATGCCGGAGCCTTAGTTTTTAAAACGACTTACATTTTAAAATTAGGCACCGTGTTTCGGTTATTTTAAGTGTTTTTGATTTTTCCTTCGAATAAAAAACAAAATACGAAGGATTAATTTATTTTTCAATAAATAAATAAAAATATCTTATCTAAATAAATAAAATATGTATTGTCTCATTTTTAATTTAATTTTAGTTATCTTTTTTAATGTTGTGGTCACCTGTAACAAAATTATAAGATTTACCAGTTGCTTTTCGGCTTTTTAGTTTGTATTCTGTGGTTAATTTAACTTTAGCTTCATGATATTTATTTATTTATTTATTCATACTCGAAAACATATTGATGATACTTTTTATTGAAAAATCCAAAATGAAGCCTAATTAATCGAGATGGAGCGGCATAATCATAAAATGGAGATTAAATATTAGATAAATTTAAATATTAAAGATTAGAAAAATTTCAATACGTCTCCGATTACATATAAGTAGATCCTTATACCGAAAATTAAAAAAAAAATGTATAATCCAAAACACAGTGGCATAAACTTGAAATGGGGTCATTTACAAAATTGGGGAAATCTACTGCTTCAGAAACATAAAAATAGACCTTTATATTTGATAAATTCGAAAAACTTAAATAAGTTGAAACGCAGTGGCGTAATCATAAAATAGAGGTCATTTTAAGAATCTACGGTTCCGAAAACATAAAAGTAAGTAGACCTTTAAATTGGATAAATTCAAAAAACTTAAATAAGTCAAAATGGAATGGCGTAATCATGAAATGGAGGTCATTTTCAAAATCTACGGCACTGGAAACATAAAAGTAGACCTTTAAATTGGATAAATTTGAAAAACTTAAATAAGTTAACACGCAGAGGAGTAATCATATAATGGAGGTCATTTTCAAAATACTGCTCAAGAAACATCAAAGTAGACCTTTATATTGGATAAATTTGAAAAACTTGAATAAGTCAAACGCAGCGGCGTAATCATAAAATGGAGGTCATTTTCAAAATCTACAGCACTGAAAACATAAGAATACATCCTTACATCGAATAAATCAAAAAAACATTAAAAAGTCGAAACGCAGTGGCGTAATCTTAAATGGAGGCCGTTTTCAAAATATACGGCTCCTGAAACATAAGAATACACCCTCATATGAAAAAAAAATCCGAAAAACTCAAATAAGTCGAAACGCAGTGGCCTAATCTTAAAATGGAGGTCGTTTTCAAAATCTACGGCTCCGGAAACATAAAAGTAGACCTTTATAATGGATAAATTCTAAAAACTTAAATAAGTCAAAACACAGTGGCGTATACATAAAAGATTAGTTAACTAATGTTAATGAATAAATAGAATGTTAACGAATCTATTTATTCGTTAACATTCATTTATTCATTAACATTCATGTATTTATTTCCTTTATCTGTTAACCCACAGTTATCTAATGTAATCTCTATTAGTTTGTTATACACTTATTCCTTATCTTTTATCGCAATCTTTTTATTTTTAACTTACATGCTATATTCTCCTTTATTTTTATTTTTATTCCTACTTATTTTCCATTTATTTGTATTTTCTACCTATATAATTCTTAATATTTAACTACATTGTCACCCACTATATCTCTGATACCATCTTTTATTTCTGTATCTGACAACTTCTTCTTATTTTATATATACTTATATTTATTTTTTATTTTCAACATGTTTTGTATCTTTTGTAGCCCTGAAGACGACCTGCAAAGTGGGTCGAAACGTCGGAAAAAATTAAAATAATTAATATATTTTAATTTTTTATTTATTTGACCGAACCCTCGACTAACTCCTCATATTATATCAACGGTCAACCATCTCTACATCATTTATAAAAAATGTTTAATATTAAATAAAGTCTCAAAGGAAGGAGATGGTCCGAGGTGGCAGTCATAAATAGGCAAATAGTGGCAAAACTATTTTATTAAAAGCCAACGTTTTGACCCGACTTTGCAGGTCTTCTTCAGGGAGATGTGTTCAGCTAGGAGTTTCACTTAAAACTGAGCACTATTTAGCCTATTTATGATTGCCACCTTAGACCATCTCCTTCCTTTATAATGCAATGGTAAACTATTAAATATTCTAAATAAAGTCTCATATTTGTTTATAATTTATATTTTTTGATTGCAGGCATTGCAATTTTGGATATGGTTGAAAGAACTATTTTTTCAAAAAGTTATCTTTCAACAAGCATTCAGAAGAATTTATCAGTGTTATTAATCAATCAAGTGAGTTCAGATATCATTAATTTTTTAAAGAACAATATTATGGTTCGTGGAACTTTTATTTTATTTTTATAATGAAGAAAAATAATTCCCTTCAGCTCTCCATGAATTCACTAAAAGTTATTGTTTTGTTTTCTTCATTTTATGTTCTTAGACCACATTTCTTGCAACTGTATTTAGTTGTGCTCAACAAACTAGGTATCTTAGAGTTTGGCTTTGTTTTGCAAACCAGCATGACCTATCTTCAGGAACCATTCTCTTACTAGCATGAAATTCCCGCACTCATTGTTACTTAAACATGTCAACAATTAAATATTATCAGAGAAGTTCAGGTTCTAAAATCAATAACAAGATCAAAATACAAAATATTTATGTAATTAAATATGTAAAATGCATTACATACAATGCAGTAAACTATCAAACGTATCCTTTGAGAAGTGTATCCTAGTTTTTAGGAAACAAAAAATCTTGATAAAACGAAAAGCAGGTGAGCAAAGAGTTTTTAAAAGCCGGGTTTACACGATCGATTTTTCCGTCCGTTTTGAACCGACGGGTCGAACCGTCGGACCAAACCGATGGAAAACCCGATCGTCTGAGGGTGAAAACCGTCGGTTTGGACAGCAGGTAAAAAATCTGTTTGGAACAGAAAATAAACCCGTCGGTTTGGAACGATGACAGGCCAAACGGACCATTTAAGTACACATCGTTCTAACCCGACAGTTTTTTGCTTTGCTAAGTCACAGTTTTCTTTCAATTTCGATTTAAAAAACTAAAACAAGCACTATTAATGTCGATTTTGAGAACATTGTTTATTACGAATGGAAATTAGCCTATAGAGTTTGCACAGCTGCGGATAATACTAATAACTTATGTGCATTCTCAGTAAACCGAACGTTTCTGGGAAATAATTATTTTGAGAGATCCATCTCTCACTTCGCTTTCTTAGAATATTGAATGTAGCCCTTTTTGTTGACAATTTCTCTAGATATTTCACTTGTTTCCTATCCATCATACGCGATAAGTCACAATGAGTAAAGCTTTCACTATTGAATTTATTGAGCTTTATAAAAGCCACCCGTGCCTTTGGAAAGTGAAATCCGGTGAATATTCTGATCGGAATAAAAAAAATAGTGCATACGAATTGTTGCGCGAAAAACTAAGTGAAGTGGAGGAAAATGCATCCATCGAACTAGTAAAAAAAAAAATTGACAACTTCGAGGATGTTTTAGGAAGGAGCTCAAAAAAATTAAGTGCTCTAAAACCTCGGGAGCTGGAGCGGAAGAAGTTTACCAGCCGCGCCTCTGATACTTCGACCAACTGCTATTTTTAGCAGACCAAGAGACGCCCAGAGACAGCACATCCAACATTGAGAGTTCCCGCTCGTTTGACGAATCGGTATGTAAAATTTATGCACTAATTTTTAAGCATAATATTTTTAAGTGTGGATAGAAATGTGTGCGGCTCATGTTATTAAAAAGAAAAGGTCAAGTCATGAGGTTAGCAATAATTATTTTATTTAAGAAAAGTAGGATATTTAAATAAAATACACACTAATTTAAAATATACAAACACTAATTTACATTTCATTTAGCAAAGATATTTAATTAATGACATCGTCTTGCCAGGGTACTGAACCCTCGTTATTAAAGTAGTCCAAAAATAAATTTTGAATTGCTTTTGCATCTTCTCCGCTGTGTCTTTGGTGGCCACGTTGTAATGACAATAAAGGGTTGTCGTTTGTTTCGGTCTCGCTTAGGTCATCATTGAATTGAGGTGCATACGCTTCGCGACGTTTTGCAATCAGAAAATTATGTAGAGCACAGCAAGCCATCACAACTTTGTATTTTGCAATTGTAGACCAATCACGCCACGGAATAACCTGAATCTTCCTGCTAAAATGCCGAATGCATTTTCCACAATCCTACGCGCTCTTGAAAGCCGATAATTGAAAACTTTTCTTTCTTTGTTTACCACTTTTTGTGAAAATGGTTTTAAAAAGTCAGCCCTCAAGTCCAAGGCTTCGTATCCTACGAAAACTTAGGGAAGAAGGTTTTTCCTGTTTCGTGGTTTAGCCATTCCTGGTAAATGCAGGGAATCACTCTTCAGTTTTTGATAAAATAAGGTGTTTTCTATTACACCTCCATCAGAAACTCTTCCATTTGTGCTAAAATAACACATGATGAACTGGTAGTTAGCATTCACAATAGCCATTAATACCATACTATGGCTTCCTTTAGAGTTGTAATAAAATGAGCCGCTGCCTGGAGGAGGCACGATTTGAACATGCTTTCCATCCACCGATCCAAGGCAGTTAGGAAAATTCAATTTCTTCTCAAAATCAGCCGCTATCTCCTTCCATTCTGCCTCTGATGTGGGAAACTAAAAAATAATATAATAAAAAACATAATTAATAGGAAAAATACTATTTAGCTTGAACAAAGTTATATTTAAAATATTTTAGGATTCCTAGAAATATAGTAGTTACCTAAACTACAATCATCCTCAAATGTATAGTGCATGTATGTATGTGTATTTAAAAGCAACAATTTTTTTTTCAGAGTGGGACTGAGATTAGGCCCAACAGATCGCATTCGCTTGCACCTTCTGCTACTTCCCTGACACCTGAAGCACCAGAAACCTCGTCGGCACATCGGGTAGCAAGCGCTCGAAAATGATCAAAAAAAGATAAGTCTGACGACATTTTGGAAAAAGTTTGCGACCAACTTGACTCAGAAGACAAGTTTGATGCTATTGGTAAAAACGTTGCACATGAACTGTGAGACCTGCCACCTGAGACAGCATTAGTGGCTGAAAAATTTATTAACGATGTGCTGTATGAGGCAGCCACTGGGAATATATCCAAATTTTCGAAAATGAACATTTACGTGCCCCATCCTTCTCAAATTCAGCATCACCCCATCCATCTGTCTACGCTCATACTGACCACCCAGGACACTCTCAGTCTCAAAATCAGCTCCACAACCTGTCATTGTTTTAATAATATTTAATGAATAAATTTTTTGCGTTGTTTTAATAAATTTTAATGAATACATTTTTGTGTGATTAAATCTTCTTTTTTTTATGAATAAATTTTGGGCGTTGTTTTAATAATTATTATATATATACTTAATGTTATCTTACCTTTAAAAAATCCTTCTCCAACACCGAATAAATTGCACTGCAGGTTTCCGGGATTATTTGTCCTAGGGTTGGGGCTGCTATAATTGTTGAAAACTTTAAGTCCTCGTAGTTCGCCCTGTAGCCAGATAACGGAGGGTGGCTATCAGCCGCTCATGTGGGGAAATGGAGGCTCTCATAACAGTATCCTCCCTTTTAATTAAGGGGACCACTAAATTATGAAGTTCGAAATATGTTTCTTCATACATCCTCAAATAATTGTACCAATCGGCCATCTCTAATTTCAACTCATTGAGGAGATTGGTGTGAGAAAGCGTTTCTCTTTTTAGCAACCAATCTTTGGCCCACTTGGTTCTTTTTCTAGATTTTTTAACCGCGAGCACCGTAGCTATCGCAATCAAAGGATCCCTGATACTGTGTTTCTTCTCGTCAGATATCTGAACCGACTAGTTTCCCCACCATTTTTCATCCGTTTACCCGACGGTTTAAACCAACGAAAAGAGTAGAACTTTTCTTCAGTTAAAACAGACAGTTTCCCCTACCATTTTTCATCCGTTCACCCGACGGTTTGAACCGTTGGTAAAAACCGAGTGTGTAAGCCCACCTTAAGACCAAATGAAACTCGTTTAAATTGAAAGGTTTACTCTAAGAATTGGAATGCAGTGTATTATTTTGAATTCTTTTCCAAAGCAACTTGCAAAAAACTTGTCTTTGAATCAATGGTTGAGATGAATTTTGTGTCCTTGCATAATGGACGATTTCATGAATCTTGGGTGGGCATCATATTCTGATGAAGTCTTATTATTAAGATGTCTTTCTTCAATACATGGCCTAATTTTCCCCTTTTTATTTTCGATAAATATTAAAGGACTTATATACGATGAGTCTGAGCATTCAATTATATCTTAGTCGAGCCATTGTTGGATTTCCAATTTGCTGCCTCCAATGACGGAGGCTTTATTGGGTATGATCTCGTTCTGAATGGTGTTTGGTCATTGACTAATCTGGTGAGTGTATCCTTTTATTACTCCATTTTTATCTTTGAATACATTTGGGTAATTATCCAATATCTCATTTAACCTTTGGTGAAGTTTGTAATTTTCACATTTTTCTTTATCTGCTTCCGATTCTAAATGACTAATTTTTTCAACATTGGTATCCTCAATCTGATGGATTATATATTCTTTGTTTTCTCCAACTGACTTGAGAGAAATTCTTTCAATTGATGCATTAATATTAAGAATAAGTGTCATGCTAGATAGATTGATATCTGCTTTCATATCCTTTAGTGATTCAAATCCTATTATGCAATCTCAACTCAATTCCGGCACCACTAGCATTATTACTTCCACTTTGCTATTACTCAACAACATCAATGTTCAATTGCCTGTCAATTTTCATAGACTTTTTATTACATGCAGTAGTTACTTGTAAAGTGTTCCAAGGTAATGTATGTAAATTTGGGACTCTGCCTTGTCGGGCAATCTTTACCAATGGCGTTACAGAATATATACCTATACGTATTTTCTTTACATTTTATGCTATGAACTAAAACATTTCACGCACTAGCCTAGTTTACATCTACCACAAATTGTATTCACAGTACTTTTACATGTTTCACTTCCGAAACCTTAATTCCTTAACATATGAAACCTTCTATGCGAGAGTTAAACATGCGGATCTCGACGCTATCTAATGGGACTCCATTTATCACTCAAACCCCGTTGATACCATGGCAGAAACTTACCACTCACCTTCATACCATCGTAGATCATCATGCTCCTCTTATAACAAAAGCTATCCGACATCCCCTGCTCCTTGGCTAACACCAGCTAAGAGAATGTATGAGAAGAAGAGATGCTGCGAGACAGCGGTTCAAAAGAACTCACTTTCCTGAAGATTATCTTTCCTTCAAACATCTCCAAAACAGCACACAATCTGCAATACGCTGCACCAAATCCCTTTATTTTCATCAATCCCTGTCCAGCACTCCATATTCCAAAGCCAATTGGGCTATCCTCCATAAGCTGTCCTTAGGTGAACCCACCAAACCCAGTCTATCCTTATTTCAGCTGACATACTCAATACTCACTTTGCTTCCTTCCCCTCTGATCCTTTTTCCTTGTGACTGCTCCAGCTCCTATTCTTCCCTCCTCTAATCCCAACGATTTCTTCTTTTCTCATATTACTCCAGACTTCCTGACTTCCTTAATTCCATTCATAAATCCCAAACTAATGATTATTGGACCAGACAACATTCTGGGTAAATTGATTAAATCCTCACTCCCCCCCCCATTCTCTCTATCTTTTATCATATTTATAACTTCTTGTTGCAAAGCTCCACCTTACCCATCACCTAGAAACTGCTCTTGTTCGTCTGCTGAATAAAACTTTCAATCCAGCAACCCCTAATGATTTCTTCCCAATTTCTGTATTGTCTAACCTTTCCAAGCCTCTAGAATGATTAGTTCAATTCCAATTATTCCACTATCTCGAACAAAATAACCGTCGGAAGTGCCTCCAATCCGGTTTTAGACCCGACTACTCTACTCATTCAGCCCTCATTATAATCTCCCAAGATCTCCATACAGCTATAGACCAACAGAAACGCACCATCCTTTTTCTCCTTGATTTTTCCAAAGCTAGATCACAATATCCTCCTTACCAAACTTGAAAGAAGAGAGATAAACTTCATGAGTGGTTTTTTAAAAGTCTGTTGTGAAACAGACCCCTTGTATTACCCCTATTTGGATCATCTACCGAAATTGAATGTTTACCCAGCTGATTTATTATTTTAAAGTTCAAGTTTCTATTATTTTTTAAATATTATCAGAAATTATAATTATCTTTTTTAGTTATTTAATCCAATCTAAATCAAGAATTTACTCTGAAGTCCATTACCTTCTGTTCATAAAATTTATGATTAGAATCCTAATCTTAGCTATACCAACAACCTAATCATACTTGTTAAGCTCCCTCTTAGTTTAAATCAACTTCGAATGAAGCCTAACTATTATTCAAATTAACTTGATTGTAATTTAAAAGAAAGTGGACTATATTATGAAACATTTACACCTACTAGTAATGAAAACATAGAAATAAAATTAAATCAATTTTACATTGGTATCAATAGATAAAATAAATTAATAACTTCTAAAATGAAAATAATGATAAGCTGAATACAATGTTAATAATAATTACGAAATATCTAATAAAATAGTTGGATGTTTGATTATGAAAAAATTTTACAAATATATATTAAACCTAATTTAGGAATTATACCAAAATGAACAAAAACAAATTAATAAAAGTTGAACAAGTATACGTGGTCGCAAGCAGTTGACGGGCGTAGATATTGACGAACCGCTGGCACTCCAATCCTTCTTCAGCGACTGAACGTAGGTTCAATATGAGCACTCATATAATTAAATCTGCTAATGGGCAGCGGCGAACACGACGAGAGAAAACGTCTCTTCACAGTAGAACTGCAGTGGGCAGTGTTGAAGTAGGCAATACACAGCTCAGTCACGGGCAGAGTCCGACTGTCTTACGTCAATTCTACCGCCTTATGACTTGAACCTTGCACTTGTTTATAGCTAGGGCTACAATCGATACCAATTTAAGTATAAACTAATGACCTGTTGAATTTACACAAAATAAGCTATAGGCCTAAGAAAATATACGTATAATTATTAATTGGTTTCATTTTATCAAAATAACAATTAACCAAATATGTTGAAAATAAAAATAAAATAAATTAACGCTGAAGTGTTAACAATACTATTTACAAAGATATATAGATAGATAGATAGATAGAAAAAAAACTTCTGGGACTAAGTCCCTTCAGAATAACAATAATGTACAAAATAATAGAATATTACTGCCCTGAATGTTGAAACAATAAATAAAATTGATAAAATAAAATAAAAAGTAAAGAAAACCTTAGGTGCACAAGCTATATACAATACAGATAAAAATATGTACAGAGCATTTAAAATTATGAACAAAACAATTAAAACTATGAACGAATCACTTGAACTATGAACAAAATTATATTTAAGGGTTGAACAACATAAACATACACTTTGAGAAATGAAGAACGAAAAAGAGATACAATGAGTTCATTTCATAAAAAAAAAAAAAAAACTTTACTTGAATATATATATAAAAATAAACAGTTAATTATAATTGAATAAAAAAAAAAAATGTATGTATTGAAATTCCTACATCGATAGTAGGAAGTGCATGTACTATCTCTTACCAAGTGTTATGATTATATGATTGCTACACAATACATATATAATATTAATAGTTAGCTGGTATCTGACTGTTTTTGGAACAGGAATTGGAATAGGAGGTATTTGAATGTGTACAGGGAAGAGGCATGTCGAATTTTGATCGGGAGGGAATTCTAAAAGTTGACAGAGCGGGCTATAAAGGAATTTTGGAATGAGGCAGATCTATGAGAAGGGATGTATAGGTCAGAGGGTCGGGATCTTGTAGTGAGGGAATGGATTTACACAATATATTTACAAGTTATTCAGTTCGGGTAACCTAATGATGTTTTTGCCAGGACCCTCTAGCTTTTCAACGAAAGGGACACTAATTTAAAACCCTTTTTTATCCTCTGGACTAGGATAAAGACTACCATGTCTCACTATAGCAAAATAAGCGATCTGCCCTAACATGATCCAGGATCATATAAAAAAATGGTGAAATTTTTGATGATACTAAAGATGTAAACAAAATAAAAATAATGGTGCTCGATGCTAATACTTATCACTAATCTTCCCACCCCCGATCCCATCCTTGTCGCCATTTTTAAGTCCTTTCTGGGGTTGATCAATAGAATAAAACTATGATCAGGAGTAAAGCACTTTATTACATTTAAAGTATTAACATTAAGTACATCATATAGCTTCCATGCCTACCCAAGTTATACTGAGTTGGCATCCTCCCGCCTGAAACAGTGTTGCCATAATCCACTTTCCATACACATATAATAATAGTGGATAGTCCACAACAGTCATGATAATTATAATTCATGGATGTATCAAATTCATCCTCCAGTTACTTTTCATCAACATTTGTGAAGCAATATGTCCCATCATTTTTACAATGACAGTAAACTTCCATGTCTTCTGTAAAAAATATTCGATAGGATGTTCCCTCATATGAGATTATTGTAGTATACAGGATGAATTCTGCAGTTTCTGGAGCCAAATAAACTTGTCTTCTCAGCCTTAGTATATGATCTAACCCTTTAATATCTGCTCTTTGGTATTGAACACCTGATAATAGTTTTATATAAAACTTCTTCAATAACTGAGTGAGGATGGCTTGGGTAGATATTGGAAATAATAAATCTCTTAGCAGGGTTGACCATTTTTTTAAATTATTTGTTCTCCTATTTTAATATTTTGATCGTGGGTGATTATTTGATCTACAAGCTGTTTTGAGGTTTGGTAAACAACATACCAATCAACATCCGGTTTGTGGATATTCGCCCGGAAAATATAATTTGTTGGACCAATTATTTCTGATATATTGTGATTATAAATTTATTGGGGAACCCCATTAATTGAGCTGAATACTATTCTCTTTTCCTTACTTGGGCGTTTAATGGTATTTTTGGATATTATAGAAGCAAAGCTTTTACCTTTGGTTTTCTGATTTGTTGATTTAGTCTGATCCACTTTCTTTCTTCCTGATCAAATAAACTATGTAATTATCCTTAAAGAATAATTAAGGCATTTTGAATCACATTGTTTGTTTTTTTTACTTTTTTCAAAACACTGTCCCATCACTATGATATTACCAATCTAATATGTGCTGTGACTGGCATTTTCTTATTGTATATTTTATTCACAATTTATTTTCACATGTCTATTATTATTCCCTTATCATTTGTATTTCATAAGTTCGAATTCTCTCAGATCTAATTAGAAATTAATCAAAATTACATCAGTACGACCAAAGATATGGTGCTTTGAACTTGGTGTTTATGTCTTAAAATATATTTTGCCCACATTCTTATTATATATATTTTGCCCACATATATATATATATATATATATATATATATATATATATATATATATATATATATATGAAATAAGGCTTTTTCATAAGAATGTGGGCAAAATATATTTTAAGAGGCATAAACACCAAGAAATATATATATATATTTCTTGACTACTGAAACTTTCAGATGTTTATTTGAAGTATAATTGAAGGGTTTACTAATTTTTTAATGAATAAAAATTATAATAAGTGTGAATTATGGTTGACTGTAGTGAATAATTGAAGAGAAGAATAGTTTGGATGATCAGTAAAAAAAAAAAGTTAATCAGTTCTTTTATACTAAAAAATGCTAGAGCTATACATAGATTAATTTGAAGTTACTAGGGTGTCATATATTCTTAGTAAGTTGATGCTACATAGTATGTTTAATTTTTGCATTCATATATGTTATTCTATAAATGTATTAATAATTGAATTTATTTGTATGTAATGATTTTTTTCTGATCTTTTCTGTACTTTTTAAAAATTAAAGTTTATTTAAAATGTACTTTATTTATTTATGATGTTGAGCTGAAGGGAAATTAGAATAAAATATATAAAATTGTTATTACAATATTGTACACATAAATTGTGCTATTATTGATATGAAAAAAATTCGTTTGTAAACTTACTACTATCCAGAAATGACTCTAGTGGTTGAATAAGCCAAATAGTTGTAAAAGAAATAAATATTTTAAATATTATCAGTATATTGTTCCTTTTCTCCAAATTGTGCTGTTGTTATTTAGAAAAAAAAAAATGTTTTTGTTGAAAAGTATAGAAATGAGCCCAATTTTATTTTATTGTTAATATTTTGTTGCAATAAAATAAAATTTGTAATAGCAACAATATTTTTCTCAAATCCTTAAGTCTATAAATTGTAAAAATAAATTTGATGATAGCTGTATTTGAACACAAGATTTGACATATTTATCCTTTACAAAGCTTTTACCTTTGGTTTTCTGACTTGATTACTTAATCTGATCCATCTTCTTTCTTTCTAATCAAATGAACTATATAAATATTCTTAAATAAAGTCTTTTATACTAAAAATACTAGAGCTATACAGAGATTAACTAGAAGTTACATCGTTGCCATATGTTCTCAGTAAGTAGAAAATACACAGTATGATCTTTATTTATTATGATTAATAAATATATTAAGAGTCTTTAAAAAAGTAAACTTCATTACAGGATTTATGAATGATCTGGAGCTTTATATATATATATATATATATATATATATATATATATATATATATATATATATATATATATATATATATATTAAGTGATATTTTATGAAATTTAAAACCTAATTATTTTGATAAATTTTTCCTCTGTGAAATCAAAACATTGTGTATTTATGTTAGTGTAACCACATTTTATTGTTAGTGACTTTTTACAACAAATTTATAATGAATTGAAAATATATTTATATAGAAAAGCACATTTTAATTTTTCCCAATATGCATAATTTATTGAAAGAATCAATGAAAAATAAGCAAAACAATAAAAATGGTGAGGATACAATCCATCAGCCAAGAGATCGAGATTTTTACTTATACTTTCACTAGCTGCTGACCCATGAGAAAATTCCGACTAAGTTTAGGTTTGTATGAGATTTTAAAATATTAAAAATTCAGAACATAAATAATTTACATACAGTCATATTTGTTCACAAAAAGATTAAATAAATCTTAAAACATAATTTATTAGTTTTATAAAAAAAATAAAATAAAAAAAATTACACTTCTATGGAACAAATCTTACTTGTTTATAATGTTAATTAAAATTCAACTTCTGCTGGCACAGTAATATCAGACATAAAATCCTGTAAAAAAATATAAATTCAATGGAGAAAAAAATATTTCAATTAGTTTAAGTCATTTATTTTGGAATCTGAATAACAAAAAATAATATTTAATGTATACTGTAAATGATTAATTACAATTTTAATAAACAGTTTATTCATATTGGAATTGGAACAAAATAACAAAAAAAAATTATAAACCCAAAAATTTGTTGTCTCTTTAATATGTAAATTCATTTCAATAATGCGAAATTCTGCCGTTTTTTTAACACTGCCAACAACCGTTTGGAAACTCTTCTTACTAAATTAATTAAAGTACTCTCTGCATGTTTTCCCAAGCTTGTGTGATCCTTTCTTTGAGCTCATTAATATTTTGGACTTCTGGCTTCTTAAGGTCCTAGACTTCTCCAGAGATGATTTCTCGCAAATTTTCAATCGGATTGAGGTCCGGACTAAGAGCTGGCCAATCCAAAACATTGATCCGGCAATGCTGAAACCATCCTTTTGTAGAGTGTGCTGTATGAATTGGCAAGTTATCCTGCTGAAAAATGATTTCTTCTTCTTGCAGCATGTAATAAGCGGCAAAAGGAACTCATCTGGACCATCAGTGTTAATTTTTTTGCTTTCTTGACTATGTCTTCCAGCAAACTGCAGTCGCCACTGCAAATGATGTTTTTTGAGCTGTGTATTTCTCATGACCTTACATTATTTTAAGAACTTGATTCAGCTATCCACTTCCTCACTAACATCACATCCTAAATTGTATTGCTTCAAAATCTATGCAGAGGATGCTCCTGTTTTCGAGATTTCTCTGAAAACCACCCTTTTCACATGATTCTACAATTTTGAAGGTCTTTCAGTTCTTTAATTTTTCCTATAATTGTCTAGGCTGCAATTTAAAAAGTATTTGACTATTCCCTGAGAGTTGTTTAGATCATGAACAGTTTGCCTCCAGGTCATCCCTTCTCTTTTTAGGTCCATTACTTATCCTTTGCTGCTCAATTTCAGTGAGTTGAGTTTCATGTGTGTGTGATGTGGCATTATTAAAAAAAAAAAAAAAAAAAAAGACTAATTCATACAAAGCAATAGGGTATATGCAATAGAGCAATAAACGATATGCTCTTTCTTTAACAGTTGGAAGAAAACTGAGATAGTATTAATCCATTAATGCACCTGATTATTGAAAGCAAACATTGAGTTTATACTTATTTGCAGCATAAACAAGAGTTATTTACAAATTTACTTTTAAATTTTATAAATACTTTAATTTATAATCTTTGCGAAATCAGAAAATTGTGCAATTAGTGTAACTGTATATGATAAATAAAAGAGTTTTGCGTAGTTTACATGCGCTTATGGTGTTTTTTGTATCGATAATAAGATCGTACTTAACAAAAACATACTTGAAATAACCCACATGAAACGAATTTCAACAATGCACATAGTGACTTTTTGCAACGAACCGGCGGCTTTATTAGACTTTATATTTTATTAATTAATTTTATACCGTCAATAATAAAATTACACAATTCATTAACTGATCAAAGATATCACACTTATGTACAATTATTTAATGACGAGGATACGCTTTTGCCATTTTTCCTGGATACTGAATTTATTTAAGAACTGACATTTTTATGAAAGCTTCTTCAATATCTTACCTAAAGAAACATGCTTTTGCAATCCCTCATTCGTCTTCTTAAAGGTATGAATCATGAGGTTTGTTTTTAGAAAATTATCATTTTCGTCATCTTAACTCGCCTACGGGAGGAGATGATGAAAACACCAACCATTTTAAAATATCACAAGAAAAAAATTTAAACAAGAACATTATTAACATATGAATATAACATATAATCAAGAAATATAAAAAAAGTGAAAGATCCCGCAAACTGTTGTTAGAATGTACAAAAACTAAAATTTATTTAAATGCAAAAGTCGCATTTATAGGTCCTTCCATTGACGTCTGTGGTCAAATCCGAAACATTTAAAATGAGCCCACTTGAGGCACTAGCTGATCCAGGATTTGATTTTTGTGGACCTCGGCCCGAAAGCGTTTATACATGACGATAATTTGGTACAATAAGAAAGAAACTAGCTACCTTTATGAAATGGCAGTGATACTTGAAGTCCTATTAAATGTAAGTATACTTACAATAACACTTCTAGAGATAATTTTTTTCATTAGACATGGTCATTTTTTACCATTTTGTGGGAGCTTCAGTCCAAAAGCCGCCCGTTGATTCGCCTGTAACTTTCAGCACTGGTACCACATATCATCCTTATCTGCTTCCGAGCATTTGATACAGAATCTAACCTCTTCTAAATCTAGACTGAAATGAGTTTGTAGTTATGGAGTTGTACATTGAAATCTTTCAGTCAGAAAATTGAAAAAAAAAAATTACCTTAGGTTGATGCTTACTTGCGTTTGAGATTCGAAAATTAATTTTAATTATTCTATATCTGAAATTTTGGTCACAACTTAATTCATGTGGACACATACTTGTTTATATTTCTGAGTTACATCTTCCACCACTACACAAATCTTGTGGCTGAGATAGTGATTGACAGTAAGAAATGTTGATGTCATTATCCTACAGTCCGTGATACGGACCCCTTTTTTATTATATTATTAACATCCGTTTGAAACTTCATAAATAGCTTCATCTCATCGTAACCTACAACTGTTTTATTTACGAAAATTCTCGGAATTGGGGCTTTTTCAGGCTGGAGATCGGTAAAAATTTGTCCATTTACGAGTTAGTTACTAAAAACTCGTAAATGCTCATTTTCTTTCCACTTGGATCGTGAGATAATTTTATCACTAAATCGAAAAAAAAAATTGATCTTAAAAAATATTGAGCCGTTTGGCGTGACCTACACCCCAATCATTTCAGAATAACGAGGTTACATAGGACAAACGGCTCAATGTAGGCCATATTTTTTCTCGATTTTGTGTTCCAATCATCTTACGATCCAAGTGGAAAGCATATGTGTATTTACTAGTTTTTAGTACCTAATTATAGATCAAGCTTGGTGATCTCCAGATTGAAAACGCCCCAATTCCAAGAGTTTACGTAAATAAAATAATGATATGAAGCTATTTACGAATTTTCAGGCGGATCTTAATAATTTGATAAAAAGCGGTCTGTACCATTGGCTGTGAGCAAATAAAAATAAGGTAATAATAAACGAGCCCCCTATAATATAATGTAATATAATTATATTAATAAATGTTAATTAAGTTAAATTCGCCGAATAATAAAGCATATACATTATATCGACAGCCACACTGTAAAAACTTGTGCCCCAAATTTCTATGGGAAATGAGGGTTGAGTTTTTCCAGTCAATCTTTTGACCTGGCGCACATTCTGATCCCACAAAATGAAATCTGCCATGTTTCACTTCTTCTCTATAGACTTTTGTAAAAACCTGTAATCTAAAAACTAGCAAATTCTGATGTAAAAAACTGTGAGTTACAGTGAAGGTTATAGAGATTGTATCTTCACCGAAAAAAATGTAATGAAATTCTCAATGAAAGGTGGTCATGTAAATATATATTGCATAAACGTTTTGTGCTTTATTAATAGGATAAAAATAATTTTTCCCATACGCTTTATTCTTTAAATTTCGCTCTCTTCTTTTTTAAATTTCTAATAAGTGGCGGGAACTTCTGGATTAATACCCGGGTTCCCCTGCTTTGAGGCCGACATTTCTTACTATGGAACTAAACGAAGCAAAGAAGAGAGTGTTAAGATGGGAGAATCGTCCTGATTCTTAAGATGTTCTGAGTCTTCCAGCTGACCTCTCACAGCTAGAGATAGAAAACTCACGACAAGGAACCTCGCTAGTGAAAGCATTGAAATTAATGTACGAAAGCTAAAAGATTCCGAAATGATTGTAAGATCCTCTGCTGCATTAGATCAAAAGCTAGAAACGTTAGACCCTACTAATTACATAAACCGAAGATAGAATTCGTGCAAAAAAGTTATACTTGATCTTTCAACAAATGTTCAGGGATTAAAAGAACGAAAAATGAACACTTCATGGTTTGACAGAGAATGCCAAGAGGTTACTTATGAGAAAAACAAGGTCTGCCATCTTATGATATAGCGGAAGCACACAAGGAATAAAGTGTTTCACTAACGGAACCTTACACTGTGCTGCAGTAGAAGAGGTTAGACCGAGAAAACGAACTATCGAATGGAAAAAGGCTCCACACGAAAAGAAAAAAATAAAACAAAGAAAATGTGAGAGATCAACTGGAAGACTCAGAACATCTTAAGAATCAGAATGATATAAGACAA